CACAGTATATATATATATATATATATATATATATCAATTTGGATAAAATAGGTAAGAAATATACCTGTATCGGGCAGTGCAGAGACGGACCTGGCCTGTGTATCTTGTCTTGGATCTCGGAGCTGGGCTCACCTCATTGTCCATCTACGGACAGAGGAAATCAGCTGACACACTTGATCCTGATCTTTTCCACACTGAATATCCTAACGTGAATGTACTATGCCAGGGTTTGTGTGAGGATCATTACATAACATCCATTTTTTCCAGTCCTGCTCCCAATGTGCACAGTGCATGCAATGTGTTCATGGATGATTTGATTCATGTATGATTAAGTGCACAGAGCGGACATGATTATTACCTATTTGCATTGATGTCAATCTCACACCCAGGGAAAATATAAGGCTGAAGCGTGTAATTTCTTTGGTGGTGATAGTGTTTTCAAACCGGTTTTGCCATTGTCAATGGTTGAGCCAATTGTGCTGTTAAGCTGGCTGAGATGCTCAAACATCTTTTTTGATAGCAGCATCGAGTCAAGGTGTTTACACAATACAATGTTTTTGCAAAATCAACATACAAATGGTTTACAGTTGAGAGAGGAGAAAATAGTTTAACATCAAAACAATTACACACTTCACCAAATTATTAAATGAATTTTGTGACTCCATTATTTGGGCATCTAAGCTCTCAGTGGAATAGTGGATTGAGTTTTCACATAAACAACTGACTTTCTTTCCTAAAGCATCAGACAATATTCAACATCTGATATGAGGTCATTTATGGATCTAATTATAGAGAGAGAGACCAATTATTCTGAAAAAGCATGAAATTAGCATATTTCTTTTCTCTTGAGTAAAATACAGACAGATAAACAGATCTGCTCGCAGCAACCAGTTAACAGAATGATCACAGTGTAGCTGAGACGCATGACAAACCTCTGAGAGGGATGCTTGCATGGGGCTGCTGGATCGACTCTGGGTTTGGACGGTGGGTTTGACCGACAGCTGCTCTGGCTTGTCTGTCTTGTGTTGCTGTACTATGGGCAGTTCTGAGACCAGTGGAGATCTGTCAGATCTCTCATCACCTGCAAGCATGAGTTATAATGGAAATCAATGACTTTGATCACTGAACAATAGGATGGATCTAAACAAATGGATTTAAATAAGGCTGTGGAAAAAAAATAACATTAGGCAAATGAGAAGGCAATTAAATTAAATATATTTATTTAAAATGAAAGGAATTAAAATGATGTGTTAAAATATATGATTTACTTATTTACGCATGCATTCATTAAGTAATAACATCTGTAATTTAAAATATTAAATTAAAATATTTATTAAACATATCACTAGAGGTTAATGGTTGGCACTGGCAGTATCAAACATTTAATCATTTCACAATTTCATCATTAAAAAAATAAATCCATAATAAATATTCACCTTCCAACAGTTTTTCTAATAATGATAATAATAATGATTATTATTATTAGTAGTAGTATTCTTTTAGTATTTAAGAATAGAGTGCTGCAGGGATGATTCCTTTTTTTATGCCAAAACGAGTTAGCATTTTAGCACTTCTGGTTCCATCATCCTGAAGACAGTAGGCTTTTTTGAATGGATTTTTGGTTAAATGCATGAAATAAGGTCTAGCTTATGGTGATTGTATTTAGGCTTAAAAAATGTTTTTAAAAAATCATTAAAGTTGTGTTAATTTGTAAAGATTATCATGATGCACAAAACATGTAAGTATCATAAACTTTTGTTGGTCACAAAGCTTGTTTTCTGCAATAATTCAAAAAACAATGGAAAAATCTTTTTTTGCTGCTTTGCAGCACTCTATTTACTAAAAAATATTATGCATCCTGAATGTTCCCCCTTACAAAAAGCACTATGATTTTACCATAGTACATTAATGTATGAGATAAATGCAATGTGCTGCATGAAAAAGGCTGATAAGCAAAAAAACAAAAAAAACAAGGCATTTTTATTTAAATTAGGGGCATTTTAAGAAATGCCAGAAATTCTAGAAAGGTGTTATAAAAACTGCTCACAAGATTCTGAAATGTCTGTGGTTCGTGGGAGAAAATACACCCCCATCTGTCTGAAAAATGCTTCACTCACTTTTTTCGGCCTGGCGCTGCAGGCTGTTGTAACTGTTGCACAAGTTTTTCTCCTGTGAGTCAGCGTCGAGTGTATCCTCCACGTCTGACCCCAGGTGATATTTTTCCAGTTCTTTCGACAAAATATTGCACTGCTCACTCTGTGTCCGGCATTTCTGCTCTAAGTCATGAACCTTGACCTTTGAGAGTCAGGGTAAGGAATATACAAGAAAGAAATGCACAAACGATGAAATAAAATCATTTATATCATACACAGGAATAAAAACACAGATGAAATACACTGAACTGTAGCAGTAGTTCTCAAATGGTTTTGTTATAGGAACCAGCAATATGCAAAATTACACCCAACAATATCTAAAATTATTAACATGACATGGCTGAAAAGAAAAACTGACTATTTTGTAAACGCATATATAGCAGCATAGTGATTCCCAGCCTAAAATATTGAACAAACACTGGGCAAAATACAGTATTAAAATCCCTGCTATTAGACATATGACCCAGCATTACATAAATTTGTGACAAAATGCTGTAAAGTTTGATCGGATGCACAGCCTGTGACAATAACAACATGTTATGGGAATTATTTTTTCCTCTATTAGAAGCCGATTTATTCTGATATCCTAAGGGGCATACACACAATTTACAAAATACAAAATCTTTAAACAATAATGAATTAGTTGTGTGGCACACATCCCTAGTTTTAACTTGAGAACCTTGTTTTTAGAACACTGTGTCATGCATGAGACACTGCAAAAAACAGAGACACTTTTTAGTGGCAAAGGCATTAGAGGTTTAAATAACCTCTGTGTGTGTGCGTTTAAGTGTATTATCTAACCAGACCTTAATACCGATACAGTCACATAATTTCATCAGGTCCTAGTTTCACCCCAACAACAAAAGATCTGATGCAAAGAAGACCTGACCTGATGGAAACTTCATTTTGTTTGTTAAACTCTTAACTCTTTAGCAGCAACAATTCACGGCCACAAAGATGAGTGTAGCAGCAAAGATACTCAAAGGACAAATAATAATGCAATGATTTTAAAGGGACCGGTCACCCAAAAATTTAAATTCTGTCATTATTTACTCATCCCTCATGTTATTCATAATGACTTAAATTTCAGTCTGTTCTTCCCACAAAGCCATAACTATGGTCTCAAAAATTTGAATGCACAAGCAGCATAAATCATAATGACCACTTTTATGATGCTTTTATAATATTTTTGTGTCCTATTAGAAGCCGAAAAGCTTCAATTTACTCGTATGGAAGAAAATATTAATAAATTCATCAAAAATGTTCCTTTGGAAGAAAGTCAGATGGGTTTGAAATGAGTAAACCATGACAAAAACTTTTATTTCTGGGTGAATTATTATTTTAAAGTGCCATGGTGCATGTTATTTGTATGCCTCCCATGAGAAAAAAAAATTGAAATGGAAGGTTACAAAAGAATCTCTGAATGAGTGAGTGTGTGTACCTGCATTTTGTCCATATGGCTCTGTTTAAACACAAAAGGAAAAAAATATATAAATCAGAATGACAAGGGTCAGAGATGAAAAATATCACAAAACAAACAAAATATTCAACTATGGAAAAAAAGGATAAACTGATCGGCTTGAAACAAAATCGCAAGGTATAAAAAAAACAATATTAAAAATGGGAAAAGGCAAAAATTATGAAGGTCATAAAAAAAAGGAAACTCTGGAAGGACGCCCCATAGGGGGTATACGTTCTCCTCGAAAGTCAAGCTGATAGTACGTGACAAGCAGAAGCTTCTCAGACTGGACTGACTGTCAGACACGGAGGTCTTTTATCAAACACATGAGGTTGCATCGGTCCCTTCTATGTTTATCATATAATTTGGGTAGACAGTTTCTTTTTGCACGAACGGCAGACTCTGCTGACCAAGCCAGGAGTGTAAATTAGGCTTTAGTAGGATGCCATAGGACAGAAGGAAAGCAAGTAGATTATATTTTACCTCTAGCAGATGCACCACTTCTTCGTGCTCTTTTTCAGCTTCAGCCTGAACCTGAAAATAAGAGATAGCATATTTAGAATAGCTGTACAAATGCGATTCCATTCACTCAAACCCGATGAACCCAAATCTCAGAAAGTAACTGCAACGTCAGTAGGACATTATAATTTCACATTGATCAAATCTTAGATTTGCCAGGATTTGGTTGGCAAAGCTACTTCATCTAATTTCAGACAGATTTATTGATCCCAGAGGGGAAATTCGGTATTTGAAGGGCAAAACTGTGTTCACAGTTCACAGCAGTTACTCATAAGTGAGTAAAATTACAGTGAAAACTCTTTGTTTGTAGGCAAACAGGAAATTGAAAGATACAGACAGGCTATGATTGCCATGCAAGTTGTATCAGCAAGTCATTTGTGCATATATGCCTGTGTCGTGTATGTTAGTGAGGTAAAAGCTCTGTCAAACCCCTCCCTAGGGATCTGCACTGATGCGGTGTCTGCTGTCGGCTCTAATTGCTTTGTTTGCCTGTCGCTGCTCCTTCCTGAAAGGCCGCAGACACAAAGAAAAGCAAACAGTTCTGCAGCCATGATCCTATTATGTGACTGCACTGATTTTATCCAGCCCTACTATGCCAGAATATCTATTGCTGCCATGTCAGAAGAATATTTCCTTATTCTTACGTCAACTTCTGCACTGGACTGGAAAAAAATTATGGTGTGTCATGATCATTAGATATGATATAATAAATAACTGATGAAATTATGATGAATAAGATGGTGCGAGGAACTGAACTGGTTCATGGTAGCGATCTGTGCTGTGAAAAGCATTCATTTCAAACTCCTTTGTCTTGCTAAATCCAATTTCATAGCTAGAAGTTTTTACAGTTTAAAGATTTTTATATCATAAACTAACAATTAAGACTGAAATGATTAGTCAACATTGTTGACAGAAAAAATTGCAGACAAATATTAAACGAAAAGTCGTTTGATCTCATATGACATAATGTAAAAGGCCTGCAATAATGCAGTTTTACCAGTGTGGTGCTGTAGCGCAAGGCTGCAATTCAGCACTCCGGACTGCAGTCTAATAGAAGAAGACACGGTTATGAGATGTGCAAATGAAGCCGAACTATGAAGGTATTTTTGGTGCAAAACAACTGAGCGTCCGTGACAGCGGAATTTGTAGTTGTAGAGAATAGCCACACATGTGTATCAGTAAATCTGAAGTCACAGACAAAAGTTGCAAACTTGTAGATATTTTTTTCTCTTCCACAAACACAACACAACAGTTACACCTTCTTGAATCCTTCACTGCATGTGCACAAATCCTATTCTACGAATCACAAATCAAGAAACTCGTATGCTCACATGTTTTGCTACTATTGCTGCAGTGAATATGGTGCAAAACACATTCACACACCTGCACCAAAAAATGTGAAGTCACGGACGAATTTTGTACATCCGCAAATCAGTTTGTGAATTCTTGCAATGAGATTTGCACGCTTGTAGAATGTTTTCTTACATATATTTTTTTTTCTTGGATGCTTTTTCTAGCACAAACACAAGTGCATAACTACAACGGCGTGAATCTGCTGCTACGAGTCTCAAACACTGTTTTGTCGCTTGCAAATGACAAGTTTCACGCTCTCTCCCTTTTGCACCACCTATCTGTGTGAAAAATGGTGCAAAAGTGATTTGTGCATCTGTAGAGGCAACGGCGGGCACTGTTCAGAGAGCAGAGAATTTCGGCCAATCAGAAGAGCTCATTTGGGCGCCTGAAACACGCCCCCTAGTTTTAGCCACAACCCCGAAAAATCGCGAGCTGCGAGCATCTTGACAGCGACAAGTATCAAAAAAGGTACGTGGGTATTTTTTCTTTCTGAAATCATTTGTTTATAGCTTAAATATAGCTACGTTGGTAAACAGTGTTTCTTAGTTAGATTAACAAATCTTATTTCACGAAAGGTAAGCTAACGTTAGCCTACCTGCACTGTTAAGTTTGCTATTCAATCGTCTCGTATTAAATTACACTGTCTAATATAACGATTTATTCCTTGTATTCTGTTATGCTTTACCTTATAGAAAAATGACAGATCAGGGTGCATCTTCGCAGGTGAGTAAGTTAAAACCAAGGGTACCATGTTTTTTTTCTTTGGTGAATAGTAATTTTTATTGGGATAGCCTACTATAGTAAACTAAAGGTAATTTACAGCAGGCAATCTATAGTAGGTAATTTGCCTAGTAATTATTACTCTCAGTGTTGGGTAGGATTACTAATTACTTTAGTTATCTCAGTTTTCATTCCTTTGAGAATCCTTGTTTTGTGATTTGGCTCTTTATATTTTCAGTGTCCCAAGAGCAGCTGAAACAGCTTGTTAAATTTTGGGTTGGATGGGAGATACCCATGGCTAGCATGAAAGTGGAGGTGGTTCGAGCGGAATATCCCACTTCATCCACATGCTTCCGCACCCTTCGCTTACCTGGTTACTACAACAGTTTCAGAGAATATAGTGTTCATTTAGACAACTGCATTGCAACCTAACTAAGAAACACTGTTTACCAACGTAACTAGGGGGCGTGTTTCAGGCGCCTCTTCTGATTGTTCTGATTGGCCGATATTCTCTGCTCTCTGAACAGTGCCCGCCGTTGCCTCTACAGATGCTTTTGCACCATTTGCACCATTTTTCACACAGATAGGTGGTGCAAAAGGGAGAGAGCGTGAAACTTGTCATTTGCAAGCGAAAAACAGTGTTTGAGACTCGTAGCAGCCGTGCAAATCTCATTGCAAGAATTCACAAACTGATTTGCGGATGTACAAAATTCGTCCGTGACTTCACATTTTTTGGTGCAGGTGTGTGAATGTGTTTTGCACCATATTCACTGCAGCAATAGTAGCAAAACGTGAGCATACGAGTTTCTTGATTTGTGATTCGTGGAATTGGATTTGTGCACATGCAGTGAAGGATTCAAGAAGGTGTAACTGTTGTGTTGTGTTTGTGGAAGAGAAAAAAATATCTACAAGTTTGCAACTTTTGTCTGTGACTTCAGATTTACTGATACACATCTGTGGCTATCCTCTACAACTACAAATTCCGCTGTCACGGACGCTCAGTTGTTTTGCACCAAAAATACCTTCATACCGAACCAGTAGAGTGTGGTTTTGTAGTTTTGCAGGTAGTTTAGAGGTAAAAACAACTTCGATATACACAAGCAGCGGTTTAGCGAACATACTGACGCTGCTGAGAGCAGCGTTTAAATGAATATGTAAATATGTGCTGCAAGCTTTTCTCTCAATAACATAATAAACACACAACTAAGATGCCAGCTGTGAGAAAATAGCAGTTAAGAAAGCATCTGATTATAGTGCTGCAGATGTTTGCACCAGCTCTGCAATCAGCACTCCAGTAAGTCACGTCACGTTTATTTATATAACATTGTAGAAACGTTATTTTTTCTTTAAAAGAAAATCTTTTACTTCAGGAACATGCATTTCTGAGGAGCAAAAGACATCTTCAGTGTCACATTCCATTAGAATTACAATTTGATTTTCTGCTATAAAGCAGCTCTATATATAATAATATGTATAAAATATGTATAACTCAAAGTTAATGAATTACAAAAGCTGAATAATTGATCAACACCTACTGATTAATCTGTGAAATAATTTATGATTAGTCAATTAATCGTTTTAAGAATAGTTGGATTAATCGATTATCAAAATTATCGTTTGTTGCAGCCCTACTAACAATTAAATTTAAAAAATTTCACATGTCCGCATAAATGACAAAATAACAGCTTGGTAGGATATCACATATAAAAAATATTCTAAGTATTAAACATCTATACATAAAAGGGATCTAAAAATAGCGAGACAGTTTTAACCTTCAAAAGATACAATCTGTTAAATAAATAAATAAAAATCAACCCCTGGGACATACAGTGACTGTAGTTAACGAACACACACATATGTGTGTGTGCAGGCATGTTTGAGGTTCACTGAGGTTCTTACCTTCTGCAGAAGGTTGATCTCCTGCTGTCTGGAGTTGAGGAAAGCCAAGGCCTTCTCATGCTCTGCCTCCAGTTGCTGCCGCCGATCTGCAGCCTCTCGCATATGCTGAAGAAAAGAAAAACAGAAAGAGGGGAAAAAAGGAAATTAGAATTAGGACATGTGACAGACATTTGTAGAAACTCCTGCTTTCTTAAAGATACATTGTAAAACAAACCATTGATCACTGTTCTAATCTGCTGTTTTCAGGCTGTGGACAAAGACCTGGGAAAAAGCATCATGAATAACCACACAGGCGCTTTAACAGACACATTAAGTGCAATAGTGACAGTGAGTGATGACACCAACAGCCACTGATGGAGCGGCACTTGGTAAATACAATATGTTCTGTGAAAATACAGAAAACCGAGAAGGCCACAATAAAAGCTGATGAGTAAAAAGCAATAAACAATGTCTAATGGACTGTTTGGGTTCAGGTTTCCTTCTCCTTTATTCAAGATGCAGTTAAACTGGACAGGAGTAGGACTGAAGCATATCAGATGTTGTGAGGCTTAAAAGCTTAAGCTTATAAGGTTCTCCCCATTTCTCTCACTGTTCTCATCTCCATCCTCTTCAAGGAAGTTAAAGCATCTTTTCTTTTCTTTGATGACTTTGGTGGAGTTTTAAATGTACATACACACCTCACACACTCACATGTCTATACATTTATGCTTTGCATATTCATTAAAATAGGAGCAGCTGAAGAGCTTTAGAGAACAGGAACAACTCATTTTTTATTTTTATTTATTTATTTACTTATTGATTTATTTTTAACAAATGTGCAAAGGAACATAAAATTAATTAGCTACATAATAGCAAATAAAAAGCATACGCTACATAGCTACATCAATTTAAATGTATGTCATTTCAAACCATGTTTTTCTTCTGTAAACATAACAGATATTTTGAATAATGTTTCTGTACACACAGTTGTCTAATGTTATTTTGGACCCCACTTCCTTTAATTGCATGGGAGGAAAATACTAATTAAAACACTGGGGTATTTTATCAAAACATTATCTTCTTTCTGGTTCCATTAAAAAAGCCATGGATTGGCATGAGGGTCAGTAATGACAGATGACAGAATTTTTCATTTTTTGGTGAACTATCCCTTTACGAATTTAGGATTTAAAATAGATGGAAAGTTCAAAAAGCTCTATTATTTCAGTCCAGCTGCTGCAACACTATCTGGAATGATTATGCATTTCTGAGGAGCAAAAGACATCTTCAAATAACATCAAAAAGAATCCAGAAATGTTTTCTCCTCGACTCGCTGCTATACTATTTCTACTTCTTTCTCCCATCTCATCTCTTCTGTAATAATTTATCACATAGTCAATAATAAGAAAGGTAGGAGAAATAAATACATATTTCTCATTTCAAAGGTGAGCCGTCGAACCGTTTCTTGTTATAAGAGCTTTCTTCCTCTCGAGACACATGACACAAGCAGTCAATAAAGCGACAAGTGCAGGAACACTTTTCATTCAACAATGAGTCAGCAACATGACGCTGACAGAAACAAGTCAGATAAATGAAACATCATTATCTCAGCTGGTATCAGTTTTTCCTTTAAAAGCAAGACCCTACCCATTAGGAAATATGATCTTAAACAATACAGATTGCTTATTAGATATTAGAAAAGCTGTCATAGGGGAAAAGGGAGTTTAATGATATAATAAACAGTCCGTTTACAGTATTTTGCAAGGATGTCTCTGTCCTCAAAACTCTTTCTAAATGATTGGTATTCTTAAGATTAAAGTTTGACAAGCATATCTGCAAAATGTATTGAACGCTGGTTGGATTTGAATCGATAATCAAACTACCATTTAACCAATATCCAACAGTGATCTTACCTTCAGGACCTGTTCAAGGTTCTCCAGTTTGTCTTGGAGCTGAGCCTTCTCCTGCCTGGCAGTGTCTCTCTCTTGACTCACACAACCAAAAGCCTTTCTGAGCTGATCATAGTCTGACTTTACCTACAGAGTAAAAGAGTTGGAAACAAAATGAGGATATATAAACTGTCCTAATTCACAAAAATCCAGCTAAACTTCTATAACTGTCACTTAAACAATGAAAAGCAGAGCTAATAGAGGAACCTTGGCCAGACTTCAGATGTTGGACATTTAATTATGACTACAACAAAGGGAAGAAAATGGCTGACTCTGCAACAGTTCTTAAATGCGTTTTACAATGGACCGTGAGTGCATATTGCACACGGAGTGTGGGTCTAAGCAGAATATTTTTTGAAACAGAATTAATCATTTTGATAGATTATTTCAGTAGTTATTTTTCTCTCTCATAAAAGGTGCAGTGATTCTTTCTAAGGCTCGAAACATAACTCTGCGGCACAGTAGGCAATATAATAAAATTCAGGTGATTTGTATGTAAGGCAACAGCTCTAAAAATAAAGATTCAGTGTTCAAAAATGTGTTCGACTTTTTCATTGACTCACGATGCTGGCAGAGCTCAGAGAAACGCAACCAATCACCTGATGAGTGCAGAAGAGGGTCAACTCAGGACACTGTCAAACAGGAATCCATCTACCAATCAAAATTTACCACTCAATATATCACACACTTGTGGCACATCATTCTGGCACACGCCCATACTCTCTCTCATTTATTAGCACACATTTCATCCGTTCAGGCTGAGAGAAACGGGGATGTTGATTCGCATCTCATATCGATCTAGGATTGGTATATGAGATGGTATATTGGGTTATTTACCTACTCTCCAGTCCTCAGTCTTGTTAGTACCGCTGAATGCTGGGAAATGAGCCTTTGATCATTGAGGGAATGGTAATGGGAGTGGGCAGCGCTACCTGATTAAACAGAAGACATTTTATCACAGACGCTTGTCTGGGGTTGTGACAGATGGCCCTTTTTGCTGTTAGAGGAGAGGAGCAGCCTGTGGATTATTCGGAAAGAGACCGCCAAACCGTGGCACGCTGACTTGGCAAAAAAAAATAAAATGACACTGTTAACACATTGAGTGCCATGAAATGCCACTCTAAGCTGTCCTGTGTTAGAATAATATCCGCTTCTTAGCAGATTCGCTACTCACATTTATATCCCTATTCGGGTGTCACTGGATTCCCTTCACAGTATGATCTAGTTTAAATCTTTCACTTTATGATCATCTCTAATGTTCATTTGGGCATGCTTGTCACATCACGGAGGCCGATTTCAAACCATAATAAATGCATACAGGCAAAGCCCTATAGATTTTGATTGAACAAAATCTGGTCAAAACAAACAAGGTGGATATATTGACCAGAAAGGGATGTGATAAGATCAATACTGCCGATGAGATGCAGAGAAGAGCCCTTTGGGCAAATTTTCCTAGAAGAGCCATGTAATGAGCAGCCATTGATCTGATGAGCTCAGTTGGCATGTGATGCTGACCATCTCTTACCTTCTCATACTGTGTGGCCTTCAGGATATGACTAAGAAGCTCACGATTGAGCCGTTTTCTCTCCAGCAAAGCATCCTGAAGCTCATTCTTCTGTCGAGAGGAAAAAGAAAAAAGGAGTCAGCTCATTGTCATCAACTATCTATCTATCTATCTATCTATCTACTGACAGTACCAATGAGAAGTGCAGCTGCAGAGAAATACTATTTTAGACCAAGACATCAAGCTGTATCATCCAAAGATAAATATATAGATCTCCTTGTGAACAACAGGGTGCATATATGTGACTGATTAGAGAATTCATAAACCCATGGGCGATGAAAACACAAATCTCTTTAGCCTATAGGGAATGAAGATGGGTGCTCATTTTGTCATTCATTCATTCTGTGTTTAAAGAGCCACCCAAATCTCAAAACCTCCAGCACAGCATGTATGAAAAATGAATCAATACTTCATGGAGAATGGCACTATGCAGCAATTACCACAGACCAGGATTCAATTTGTTGGTAGATTACCTTTTTAATTGGATTGAGGCCATTTATGCTTCTTTTCCGAAGTGTATAATTTTTTTCGCCACTAGCATCACTAAATGAAACTGCAAAAATAATGAATGTTTTCAAACAGGTTTCCCAAACACTCCCCTCTCTGCCATTGGTCGGATACTTAAACAGAGACCCGCCCCATACTCACACCATTAAGCCAATGTTTCAATGTTGGCTGGTTCAAAATATCTAAATGTTTTGAAAGCTACAAAGCACCTGAATTTCTAGTTTATGTGGGAGTCAACCAACAAATAACTTACAGATGTCTCTTCATATTGAAGGGATAGTTCACCCCAAAATAAAAATTCTGTCATTAATTACTCATTGTGACGAGGGGGGCGGGGTCGAGAGCCGTGGGAACGGAGCGAGGCCGGTGGAGTTAATGGATAATGAGCGACACCTGCACCACTCACCGGTCTCGAGTCTCACGGAGGAGCTCCGGAAGGATATAAAGGAGGAGTGACGACAGGGAAAGACGAGAGAGGACCAGGCCTGGATTTTATTTTGTGTTTTGGTTTCGTTTGTGCGCGACAGTCGTCCGCGAGGGGCTGTCGCGCTATTTTGTGTTTATTTTATTATTAAAGTTTATTTGAATGTTCGCCGGTTCCCGCCTCCTTCTTCCCGACCTACAAAGTTTGTTACACTCATCCTCATGTCATTTCAAACCCGGAAGACCTTCGTTCATCTTCAGAACATGAATTAAGATATTTATGATGAAATCCGAGAGCTTTCTGAGCCTGCCTAGACAGCAACGCAACTGAAACGGCCCAGAAAGGGAGTAAGGACATCGTTAAAATAGTCCATGTGACATCAGTGGTTCAACCGTAATTTTATGGAGCTAAGAGAATACTTTTTGTGCGCAAAGAAAACAACTTTGACTACTGATGTCACATGGACTATTTTAACGATGTCCTTACTACCTTTCTGGACCTTGAAGTTTTCAATTGCGTTGCTGTCTATGCAGGGTCAGAAAGTTCTCGGATTTCATCAAAAATATCTAAATTTGTGTTCCAAAGATGAATGAAGGACTTATGGGTTTGGAATGACATGAGGGTGAGAAATTAATGACAGAATTTTCATTTTTGGGTGAACTATCCCTTTAAGCTAGGATAGAATTTAAAATATAAAATATTGCAAAGTTTAGGTTTAAATAATATTTAGAAAAAAATAAGAAAAAGACTTGGCAACAGGCAATGAGAAAGGCATTGAAAATCATCTCACTTCTGAGCAGACAAGTTGTATCTCACTGCACTATATCTACCCATAAATGCACGAGAGGAAGTTCAGAAAGTCATTTCAAACCCCCTAATTTGACTGTTCAACACAGCTGTCCATCTCGTGAAGTTTTCAAAGTGCCACACCCTGGCTGAACTCTGTGTGCGTCTCTGGCTCAGCATCCTGTCCCGTCTTGACTGGCTCACATGTCACAGTATATCAGGTGGCAGGTTTGCTCAACCGCAACTAGAGGAGCATTTGAACTTTCTTGTCAGAAGCCCTGTCTGTCAACCACAGCATCACCCCGGACAAGACAGCTACTGCACACGAGGGCAGCGCACACTCCGCTGCCTGCAAACGGTGACCACCGCAGACCTCCCGTGGGATCACATGTAGCATATCCGCATATAGATTTGGGAACATTTCAGTCATCATGTTCTATTACCTCATATGAAAGGACAGTCTTTAACCTCTGCTCAAGGGACCTTTAAGAGGCCGCTGAACTGGCTGCTCATTGAAACCAGGAGTAAAAAATATGCAGTTCGCTGTGCAGTCACGGCTGATTAAACGCAGCTTTAATGTGGTAAAGATTAGACTACCATGGGATTATCAACTGAAACTCTCACAGGGATGTGAGTTAAAGCAGCGGCATGTATCATACCCAGGAATCCTGCTTCTGATTTCCATATGGATGGATCAAGAAGCAGAACGGCAAAAGGAGGTGGCGGTCTTGGGAAGAGAGAGAGCGAAAGCGTGCCACAAGAATGGACTAATTTGAGCAGACATGGCTGCCTGATCCCCACCCTCCAGTGTGGCCCCTGGTTCTGCAGCTGCTCAGAAAAGCTTTGCTCATCCTTCCACAACATTCACTGAGATGAGGCTCTTTACATGGCCAACCACTGCAGCATTGTGGATGTATATACGGTGTGTGGGTGTTGTTATACAACCACAGACATATTACAGGAGAAACAGAACTCAGGGATACGGTAAATCTGTGGGTCAAGTCGACCTGTGAAGAGATTCTCAATACATTTCAGTTACGTTAAATCAAATGAACTGTTAAACTGTTAAATCCAGACAATGTTTAGATCACGTTTGCAAAAAAACAAAAAAAAAGACACCATTACTGTATGTAGAAGTAATGTAAAATATTGCGTAAAATATTATATAAACATAGACCTATAATAATATATAAATAAAACAATTATTATAATTTATATAATTATAACATTTATGTTCTTAAATTAAATAAATAAATTACTTCTAAATACTTGTGAATAGCCTTGCAGTACTTTTTCCAATTTTCTAACAATAAACATTAAAAATGGATATAATGTATGGGGGGGGGACACCAGAATAGGTACAGTAGCATTGCAAATATATCCATAAATGAAACAAAAAATACATTTGTTTAATGTACTTGTGTAAAAACTGAAAATAAGAGATTAGACATGGAGAAAATGAAATGAGATTATTTACTTGTCATGCTAGGTAAATTTTTATTGTAGATTCAATTCAATTCAGTTCAATTCAAGTTTATTTGTATAGCGCTTTTTACGATACAAATCGTTGCAAAGCAACTTTACATAAAATTAAGTTTCTACAATATGTAGATACTCATTTATCAAACATATTTCAGTGACTAACATGAATTTCAAACTGCAACATTTGGAAAAGCAAGTGAAGAACGTGAAAACAAGAGCAAAGTGAAAAACAGCATAAGCATACAAAAAATAAAAATATGAGAATAAAATGTCTGAGAGCACAAAAAACTGAGAAATATAACCAAGGAAAACATGATTTTGTGTGAAAGTCGAACAGTTTTGCATGAATATTTCAGTTTTGTGCAATATGTTTTAAATGTGTTTAAAGTTTGATTCATACTTATTATTTTTTTAATGCGTTATTAAATTTTTTATTTACGCTTATTATTTTTCTATCCGTGACTATTGTTTGCTATTCTGAAAACGTTGCTTTTATTTTTACATTCTGTGCAATATATTTTTACTTGCATTTTTAAATTTTGGTTTCACGCGTATTTTTTTATCCGTGACTGCAATACTTTTGGCAGAAAATTGATCCCGTAAAAACGTGGGTTTTGTGCCTCTAATGCTTTAGACAAAGTCATGAGACATCAAAGTATACCATATTTGTTGAAAGTGCCGAACAAATAACCAAAATAGTTTTTGATGGAGCACAGAATGCCAAGTTCTATCCAACTATCCACATATCCATTGCTGTGCCAAGGTAATGGCATTGGCGCACTGAGTACTACACTCAATCTTATGAAAACAGGTTTGCTCTGTGCACGTTTTATTCACCGACAATACATTCAATTCTTTAACATGCAGCTTACAGTGGCAGATCTGTCAATCTTAGGTGACATCTTCAGTCTGTACCTGTAACAAACAGAAATCTTAGCCTCTGATCCCGGTGTGAAAGCTCAGGGCTCCTCTCCCGCTGAGAGCAGGTGGTTGCCATGACAGCTACAGGAGGTCGGGAGGGAGGCCGCATCCTCCCTTATCCTGCCACTGCACTAATGTATATACCGCAATAAGCAAATAAGGCACTTCAGCTGTTTTTCACACAATGATGGAAAAACGCTCATTAGACAGATTTGATCCAATTAGACAGCTGTTTGTTATTTAGAGCAACCATCTCTGTGACCTCTTGACATGGCATCTCTACAAGACTCAAAGCACATTTCTCATGGAACATGCTAATTAACGCCCCCCAGCTCATAAAAATGATTAGAGTAAATCAACTGTTGGGCTACCGGTGCTACTTTAATTGCAACAAAAGGGTTTTTTAAAATTAACATAGTTGATATAAAAGGATAAAGATGGTTCTCAGGGAATCTTGAAAGCACATTTGAGCATTTGCCACCAAGGAGCGTGTACTTTAAGATCAGACATGCTATTCCTGTGCTTTCCCATTAAACACCCACAGGATCTCCACTAATGAGGTAGTGTGTGGTAGCTTCATTCATACAAACAGTAGGGAGATATTGGGTATCTATGGGATGATATTAGACTCAAAATGATTAATAGATGCACGCACAATTATCCATGTACTGCATACATTTTATACATGTATCTTACTAACCACAAACAAATACCTTTCAATTTGAGTCTGTGGAATTCAGTAGACGTCAATTAATGCACGCGTGTCACCTAATCCACTTATGCACGGATTCCTTTTTGCATGAGCAATTTATGATATATTAATGCAGAACAGAACATTTTTATTCGCAAACATGTCTGTATTTGTACAAATCGCTGCACAATCATTTAATCCTGAATCCACAGATTCAAATTGAAAGGCATTTGTTTGTGGTTAGTAAGATACATGTATAAAGTTTATGCAGTACATGGATAATTGTGCGTGCATCTATTAATCATTTTGAGTCTAATTTCATCCCATAGGTATCTTAGTGACCTTTACACATGTGAGACCATATGTTCAAAATGTAGCTCTCATGTAGTCCAAAGGCTTTAAAATCTGTACAAGTTCTTCGAAAGGATTCTTAGAAGTCTTTCACTTTAAATCCTTACTTTTTAAAATCAATATGCAAACCTTGCTAGAAGAATCTATGCAAATAATTAATAATTAAGTACTGTATGTCAATGCCTTGATCCCTCATAAGCAAAATCCTTCTAAAAATCATTCTGCAACGCCTACTCCCAATCATAGAAACAGAAATACCTGATTTGCAGGCTGGTTTCCGCCGAGGTCGTGGCACACGTGACCACATAGCAAATTTGCGATGGATCATTGAAAAATGCAATGAATTTCAAAAAGGTATCTATATGTGTTTTATTGACTACAGTAAGGCTTTTGATTGCGTCGAACATGATAAGCTATGGAAGGTACTTCAAAAATTGGGAATATCACCTCATCTGACCCAGCTGATAAGATCGCTTTACACAGAACAAGAAGCTGTTGTTCGAACGCAGTATGGCGACACAAAATGGTTCAGAATTGAAAGGGGTGTGAGACAAGGGTGTATTATCTGCCCCTTTCTTTTTAATCTTTATGCTGAAGTGATCATGAGGAATTCATGTCTGGAAGATTCTGACATAGGTGTGAAGATTGGAGGCAGAAATATCAACAATCTTCGTTATGTTGATGATACAACTTTCTTAGCAGAAACCGGGGATGATCTGAAACACCTTATAATAACAATTCAAAGGGAAAGTGAAAAGATGGGACTCCACCTGAACATCAAAAAGACTAAAATAATGTCTACAGCTGGATCTGGAACAATTAACGTAACCATCAATGGAGAGGAAATTGAATGCGTTAAGGAGTTCTGCTTCTTGGGATCTATGATTGACCAAACCGGCGACGGTACACATGAAATAAAGCGTCGAATATCATTAGGACGTAATGCAATGCTAAGCATGCAACAAATCTGGAAGAGTAAAGACATCAATCTTACAACCAAATGTAGACTAGTCCAGGCAATTGTATTTCCTATATCAATATAAGGATGTGAAAGCTGGACTGTGAAAAAAAACGATCGAAGGAGGATAGACGTCTTTGAGTTATGGAGTTGGAGAAGGCTCTTGAGGATACCATGGACAGCAAGGGTTTCCAACAGAGAGGTCCTGAAGTGTATAAAACCAGAGATGTCACTTGAAGGCAAAATTACAAAACTGCGTCTTGCCTTTTTCGGCCATGTTATGCGAACAGCTTTACTAGAACATGCAGTGATGCTTGGCATAGTTAGCGGAAAAAGGAAAAGAGGCCGCCAAAAAACACGTTGGCTTGATATCATTAGAAGTGACACAGACTTAGGCATTGAACAGTTGAAAAAGAAAGTAGAAGATCGGAAAGCATGGCGAGAGTTGGCCCATTGGATCGCTAAGAGTCGGATACGACTGAATGGCTAATCATCATCATCATGTCAATTTCAATTTACTGAAGCACTTTGACAGTTGAGGGTTATGCTTTAAATCTGAATATTGGGGATAAAATAAAATACAATAAAATAAAAACTTGCTGATTGTTTAGCAGTAATTTTTTTAAATAATTATTTATTCAATTATTTTCAAAAATACTAAAAAAGGAAAAGAAAATACACAAACTAAATTACTTGTATTATGAATGTTTAGCAGTAACCTTTTTAAATAAAAGCAAAAGTAAAAAAAAACAAAAAAACAAAAATGAAAACAAAAAAATTAAGTGCAAAAAAACACTTTATGGAGTGCACCAGAAGAACACAAATGACTTTCTGACATTATCAGCCATGACTTTATGCACTGCGTAGCTTGTACTCACCAAAGTCTTACATTCTAATGTCTTATTCTTCACTTCTCTCTCAAGGATCTGACACCTTTTCCTCCGCTCGTTGACCTCTGACTCCTAGAGTGATGAAAAACAAAAAATAAAGAACTTGACTGATTTAACTGACAATATTTAAAATACATATTTTATAACATAATACATGGATGATAAAGTGAATGTTATCATTTAACTAAAAGGACTGCATTGAAGCAGATTCCAGATACTATAAAAGGACCTTAACCAAGGACAATGCCATATTTACTCAAATGCAACAACAACCTGACACAAATGAAAAGATAAGGATAGATGCACATGCACTATATACAGTATATATATATATATATATATATCAAACAGTTGAGAAGTCACGTTTCAGGTCATGTCTAATTTTTTTTTACAACAAAAAGTATGGTAAAGCCATTTAAAAAATGTATTATGTGATTGGTGCACAAATTACAATTCAGTTATAAATGTGACGTCAACACAGTCCATTACATTCTTTATAATGGACATTTACAGAGTTCCTGAACATCTAGGAATGGTCTGAAACATTTAAGGCAATAGATAGATGAGCTCTCCTGATTCTCAGCAGATACTGTTCATGACTGACAGCATCTTGGGCCAATCCCAGTACATCCCAGTCTTTCGTGGGCAGTATTACTTTAAGAACAGTGTCAGATAGGGCATTTAGCATAAAAAATGTATCTTGGTATGCCAGAAAGAAAGCTCTGCAAGTGTGTGAGGGTGTGCAACACCTAACGATGGGTGTTTTAAAGTAGCGATGCGTAGCATTAGGGCTCTTCAGGCAGGGGCGGAGAAGGAACAGCTGAGAGCTCAAACCTAGTGGTGAGGAAGAAACAACCGTTTCATCTGTGTCAACATGTTACACAGCTGAGATTTCCTAAACTGAGGGCTTTTTCACCCAAACCAACCTCATTACACCAAGACAACACCTCCTATTAAATGAGATGAACGAGAAAACACAGATCATTTATCTGAGCTATTAACACTGTACGGTAAATCCTCGCACTGCTCGACTGGCAAAATGACAGTATCATTCCTGGCAAGTCAAAGCGGTATGCATTGCGTGCTCATGTGCGTTTTACAGTGGGGGAGGGGACTCTGGGGTTGCTATAGAAACCTACTCATCCAGGTAGCACGTTAACCATGAGAATGAGCAGCCTATTTGTCACTCATTCACAACTCATTGTTAAACCTAACTCGCAGGACACGGCAAACTCCCTCCACTTGGAGAACGGTCCAAGACTGTGAGAATACAAGCTGGTTCATGTGTAACTGTACACCCTGAAAGGAATCACCATGACGTGGTACATTTCAACAGGGAGGAAGTGCATCTCTATGGGAAGGAAATCTCAGGTTTCACCTGCCCTATAATTATAAGATACCATTATGACTCCATTAACCACGTTATCAATTTATATATGTCTGTCTTATGCGAAATGGGGGCTGAGATGCCTCGGAGGGGGTCCGTGTTTACGAAAGGGTTTCTAGGGAAGCGTAGGATTATACAGGACTCTCTCCAACACGTTTTGAGAGATAATCTCTGAAGTGAGAAACTAAAGGTACAGTACACTGCCTGGGAATTCAAAATAGACATGTGTCATGTACCCGCCTCCTCTTTGCCTCATAACATCATCGGAACTGGTTGTCATTCAGCACAGTGAAGAAGAGAGGGTAAGTAGTATGAAATGAGGGAAGGGACAGATAACAGGTTAAAGGTAAAAAAAAAAAGAAAATGAAAAGAAATCTCAAGCTCATTGTCATGCGCTGTAGAGAGACTTAATCTTTGTATTCTAATCTCTTTTCTTTCTCATGAAACTCACATATGTAGTGGTGGAAGCTTCCTCCTGCGAACTCCAGAGATATATGCATGGGGTGTGATAATGATGCTACAGTGCTCAGGATGTCAACATGGTGACTGATTTATTCTTGGCTCAGCATCCTGCCGTCCCGAGACTCTTGGTGCCAAGAAGCCTCTGAGTTTGGCTGTGATTATCAGTGAATCTCTGTGTTTTTAACAACATTTTAAAGGAATATTTCACCCCAAAATTAAAATTAAATGATCATTTACATACCCTAATGTTGGTCCAAACCTGTATGACTTTTTTTCCTTCAATTTTGAACCCAAGTCTGTTGGGTTCAAGGTTGTTTTGGACCCCACTGACTTTCTTTGTATGGACAGTTCTGCAAAAGCAGCAGCCACGCAGCAACCTATAAACTACTGCCATATTTTGACATATTTTTGCAGACCAACCCAGAAGTTAACATCACCCTGGTTCCCTCAAAAAATCCAATCAAATTTTTTTCAATGGCTTTGGATTATTGCAAAAAATAAGCTATGTGACCAACAAAGGTTTACTGTTCATACCTTTTTTGTTCGTCAGGATAATCTTCACAAATGAATGCAACTTTTAAGAATTTTGAAGGCTAAATACAACCGCCAGAAGTTGCTAAAAAATGCTAACTATAGATTGTAAGTGAATTACACCATGATCGCATGACTTCAGCATCGCCACTATTAAGCTTCTGACAACTTTTTAAAATCTACAAGTTGACAAATTTTAGCTAGAACAGTCTGCAGGAGTGTGATTAAAAACACGGTAAACGCAGACTAGTGAGTAGAAGCCTTTTCCTATTCTGTGTGATGAAGTTTAATTGCCCTGAAAACCTCTGTAGTCTCATTTAGCCACTTGTTAGCAATCATCTCTTTAAAGACACATAAAAGTATATTTTAAAAAAAATCAAGGTAAAAAGCGGGGTAGTAATGACGTGTTTTGTGTCGTTGAATAAAGCATGAAAATATCTTGAGCTTATGTTAACCACAGACCTTATTTTAGGCATTTAACCATAGAAACATATTGACTTTGGGACGATGGAACCAGTTCATTTTCAGGCTTTAGGACTCATTCCTGCAGCACTCTATTCAGAATTATTATTTCTCTCAACATGTATGTGCATTATCACTAGAAATAGGCCACTTTGAATCACTTTGACGGCATCATGGATTTTGAGGCAGCTCATTTAATCCTGTTTCCCCCACTATCCTAAAAAAGACTCAAGGTTCGGTTTGGCATTGAGAACATCCTGACTGACTTTGAATGTACACTAGCTTAATGTATTAGGAAGCTCTTCTTTGGATGACAACTCTTGCAAATTTCCTGAAGCAAAGGGCCACTTAATTAAGACAAAGACGGAGGACTTTACATTAAGATTTACATTTCCAAAGGGAATATACAATGCAATACTAATGATGTACATTTACAAAGACGATTATGGGTCTTGCACATAATAACATCCGGTTTAAAAGTTAGTGAGCATATGAAGACACAATTAATTGAGACAATGTGCTGACTGACATATTCTAATCTAGCAAACAGCAAATAATGCATTCATTTACATTACTGTCTGAGTGGATTGTAAGAGGACCAGAAGGAGAACATTGGGTATTGTTAAATAAGTCAATAACTATTGAACAGTAATTCAATAGATTACAGAATTCGCTGTAACCATGACAATCGGCGAGATGCAGTGAAGAAGCCGGCTGTCCAGTTTTAAAAGTCTGACCCAGGACAACCCATAAAACAACGAATATACAATGCAATACTAATGATGTACATTTACAAAGACGATTATGGGTCTTGCACATAATAACATCCGGTTTAAAAGTTAGTGAGCATATGAACATACAATTAATTGATACAATGTGCTGACTGACATATTCTAATCTAGCAAACAGCAAATAATGCATTCATTTACATTACTGTCTGAGTGGATTGTAAGAGGACCAGAAGGAGAACACAGGGCATTGGGTATTATTAAATAAGTCAATAACTATTGAACAGTAATTCAATAGATTACAGAATTCGCTGTAACCATGACAATCGGCGAGATGCAGTGAAGAAGCCGGCTGTCCAGTTTTAAAAGTCTGACCCAGGACAACCCATAAAACAACAAACCTAAAATCACAGTTTAGAAAATCTCCAACCTGCTGCCTCAAAATTCATGGAAATGCAGAAAAGTAACAATGCAGGTGGAACATGTGTTCATATTTTTGATAATACATACATACATGTTTAAAGAGAAACCCTTGATCTATTATCATTCTTGAGAAAAATCATTTGAGCTCTTGCATCATCCTTCATCATGCATCTAAAAGCATGAAAATACATGATGTATGAACTGGGGCAATACCCAGCTATGAGAACGTATACTCAGAGGGGGGGGGATTTACTATGCTGCACATCTCCTCATGCAGAAACACACGCTGGAATCCCCACAGCCAAGCTGCAGGCAGAGGAAGGAAAGTGAGAGGAACAGAGAATTGCAGCAAAAGGATAAATGAGAAGAGGAAATATTTACCGTCTCAGTTCCCAGTTCCAAAGGATCTTAAACCTGCAGAAAATGTTCTTTCCTTTCCCTTTTGCACTCTTCCTCTCCTCCTCCGTCTTGCTTCCTCTGGGCGTGCAAATGTCAGACAGCGGTAACGGCAGCTCTCTCTCTTTCTTGCTCTCCTTCTCTCTTTACAAGGCCTGCTGCATGCTGCAGAAGCAGAGGCACAGAGCTCCCCCACCATACGCTACGGTCTGCCCTCCATCCCCTCCCTGAGTGACTGATGCTGAATGCGGGTGGAGGAGGGAGGAAGTGGGAGGGGAAATGATGGAAGTAGGCTGTCGAGTGGGCGGCAACTCCTAAAACCATGATCCCTCCCTGACGGTACCAAACCTCCACGCAGAAGTGAAGCAGACACAGGGAGTAGGTGGAGCTAATTGGGAGAAATCTTTAACGTGCAAATACACACCTTCAGCAGGGATTGACGCCCAATGTTGACTGAAATGTGTTTCTCTGGAAGTTACATATTATTAATTATTAAACAACAACAATGAACAATACTTTTTCAGCATTTATCTATCTACGAATACATTTTTAACTTTTGTATAAATTAACACTAGTTAATTATTGAATTAACATTAATCATTATTAATAAATGCTGATACATTTTTAACAAATTGATTATTGTGAAGTTTTACAATAATTTAAATCCCTTCCTCATGTCGTTC